ATTTTGATCCAAATACCTGAGATGTGGAGCTATACTCTGGATCTGTTGTACTCAAAGAGCAGACGACTTCTCATGCCATGCTGTGATGCATGGGGCCAGCTGCTTCGCGGGATCAGGCGCTCGTATTCGCGGATATCCACGTCTTAGTGCAGCTAAATTTTTGCCCCTGGGCTTTGCCGCACCCCCCCTACCACTTGAAAACGTTCTGTCCATTTTCCATTTTACGTAAGGCATGCTAATCCGCCTCCAGGAAGTGGGACAACGGAAGGATTTTTGTACGTCTGAAATTACCGAATTTTCCAATGCATTCTGGCACCAACAACTCGCCATGATGGCATGAGTTCAGCAGAACACGACCCACATCAGCGATGTGGTTGCATTTTAGAATGATTCCAAAATATTGTAATGAGCAACGTTTGTTTGGGCACGCAACGAGCTGTTAGCACCAGGCTTGGTCTTTACGGCGGAAACACGGCGCATTTACGCGTATTTAACTGCATTTCTTTTACTTTTTGTGGGCAAAAGTACGTAATACAGGACATGTGTACATAAAGACAGTACACGCAGACTCAACCCTTTGCCCTTGCCCATAGCGAGGTGGACGCTGTGTTTCAGGTGCTCGATGGGTCGAAAGACTAATAGCTGCTTGCAGGTTATCATGTAACCTGTGTCGACGCGCCTTAAAAATATGTAAATATAGCCTTTTCTGGGTTTACTCGTTTCACGCATTAAACTCAAAAAAATGGTGCTGCGAACATAAAAATCAAGCCTGCCTAGCTCTACCTCAGCACATGAAGGAAGCATTGCTCTCTGGTTTGCCCGTCAGCTTCACAAAATTTACAGTTCAAGATGCGGTGAGAATTTCGATTATCGACAATTCTTGCGAGGTAGGAGGAACGGCTGTTCTTGAAAAGGGTTTAGGGTGCTAGCGGCTACTTCTCCTAAGGCGTACGCCCATTTTCTGTTCGCCGCATGGTAGAAAGCAGTACTCAAAAGTTGTTATGTTTACTGAGTAGGTAACATCGATAGTGTTCCTGAGATCCCTACCACACTCTAAGCTTAGCACATCCTCATGCACCGCGGCCAACAACGGGATTTCGGCGAGCAGGCAATCTGCACCCTTCCGCACCAGCCAGAGAAGGAGCATCCCTTGTGGATAGTCCCGGTCATGCCGCCCTTGCGCCGGCGGCACTGTGGCCTGGTAAGAATCGGCAGAAAGTCCCTCAGTGATGTTGCATAATTTGACCCCATTTGGGGAGGCGGAATTGAATTTTCTTTCAAAGCGGCACAAGTCTACACCAAAACATTGCGCCGTGATTCAAAGCGTATCCCCTCGATGGATTGCCGCAAATTCTCACCCGCCAATTATTCCATGGGATGCATTGTGGTATTTGTGTTCCTAACGTGCAGCCACGGCGGCAGTCGAAATTGTCAATTCACCCGAATGTCCCCCACGCGCTGCAGCACGTGTTCACAGAGTTGTACGTTGCCTTTGCAAGGGAAAAAGCAATTAAGGGAGTTGGTGATGATGACGGTGGCATATCCGTCTGGAGGGATAGCCACGCATTGGGATTCGATGTTGTAGGCCATTTTTGCGTGGGCTTGGTTTGGTTGTTGAAACCAACCGCGTCGTTCTGGTGCCCAACGCGTTGCGCACGCGTTGGGCGTACGCCCGACGCGTGCTGATCTTACAGCCGTATGTCGCGGACTGTGTCAGAGACTTTTGGCCTTGATCGAGTCTAGAGTTCCTGGCGTCGTGAAGCAACAGCTGAACACTTCCACAAGCGAGAGAATCGTATTGAAGCATTGCGTGAGGTTGCCAGCAGATGCTTCCTGTTGCACTGTTCAAGGGGGCGGAATCCCAAACCTGGCCAGGACAACAAAAGCTCGGTACATGCAGCAGTATCACATGCCTTGTCAAAGGTATAATCCTAAATGTAATGCAACAAGTAGCAAGAACCCACCGGCCGCCACGCGCCGGAATGTAATGCAACATCTGGAATCCAGAAAAGAGAACATCTGTCGTTTAGATATCATGGCCGGCGCATTATGGGCCATAAGTCGCATGTACATTAAGTGGTGCACTGCGTTTAAGGAACTCTGGGCGTCGACGTTGCGTCTCTGCACATTAAGTGCTCAACTCGGCTCCACCACTGCTCCTTACTAAGGTCATCGGATGGGCGCGCTTCGACACACGCCTTTCACAACGCCATGCCCCCGCCATCTCTCCATGACAACGGATGAGACATTGCGCCCAATCTCCCTGTGGCATATCCGCCGCCCACTTCGCGAGCACTTCTTGATTACAATCCGGCGCCGCTTTCCGTGTCAGTCCACGGATCAACCGCCACATCACAAATCGAGATCCCAGGCAGGCAGAAAACCACGACGTTGTGCTCCCGGGTGGTGATGTACAGCTGAAACTCCCGTCCCACTGGTCCCATACATTGGGCCGCCCATACAATGGGCCACCCTGCCCCCTCGACCCATCAACGCTATTACCTTGTTCGCCGAGGCAGACCCCGAGGGGTGGGGAGGGCGGCATTTCGTCGGCCGCCACGCGCAGGGGGCTGCGGAAAGTGCTTGGCCCCTGTGTCGCGAGGGGCGGCGCGAAATTTGGGCCCGTGAAGCCCTGGGCATGGCCTGTGCGGAAAGGAGCGCGTGATGGAGGCGCCTTGGCGGGCAGTGCTGCTCGCGGCCGTCCTGGTGGCCGCCTCCTGCGCGGAGAGGTGCCGGGGAACGCGACTGGGGCCGGGAGGGCGGGAGGGGCGCCTGCCGATTGCAGGTATACCATTGCGTGTGTGCGTGTGGGGTGGGGCAAACCGATTTGAATCGCGCATGAGGGGAGCGAAAGAAATGCATGCGAATGCGTGCCATGCCGCCCATGTGGCCCCGCGCTGCGCATCCGAATGGATCCGCCAGCCGGCGGTGGTTTCGGCGGCCTAGGGAGTTTGGGGCTTGAGCGGGAGTTGGGCGGAGCGGAATGGTGGGGGCGGATGCGCCGCAAATGGGGGCGGCGAGGTTTCCCAACGCTCGGGCCCTTCCGATGTGCAGCGGGGGCGTCGCCGCTGGGCGCCCCGTCCGCGGTCCAAAGTAACAACCTTGTTGTCGTTCCCCTGCCGCTCAACGCCCATTCTGCGGCACCCAGCGCCTGTCGAGCACCGTGGGGGGCGTCCGAAGCCCTTCCCCAGTACCCCCTGCCCTTACTTAGGTGCACTTTCGAGCGCGGTGCCCTCGGTGCCGGTCGCGGGGTTGATGGTTATGTGGTCACGTGGTGCTGGTGGTGGTGGGGTAGTGGGCGGGGGGCCTGCGACAGAAAGAGGTTTCACTGCGACCGCGCGCCGTCGTTTGCTGCAACGCAATGGGGGGCCACCGCGCGCTTCTGAGAGAGCAGACATTTTGACCATCGGGCTCCGCCTGCGTCCTGAGCGAGGGAGGGGTGGTCCCCATTGCGTGGTCAGGCTGGGCGAACTCGCCGGCTCTCTGACGGCCGCTGCCTTGCTGTCCAAGCCTTCGAGAGACGTCGTCGGGAATTACTTGAGGCTGGTGCTCTGGGTCGCCGCTGTCGCAGTGCGTCAACCTGCGTCGCCGTTGTCGTCGTAATGGATCCCGGCCCTGCACACACAATGGGCACTCCCTTGAATCTAAGATCTCATGTGAAGAATTGGCCTGCGCCTCTTGGGCAGATGTCTTGCTCACAAGGGTGGAGCAAAACACTGTCTCTGCGGACCTGGGTATGGGACGACACAGGCGATTCATGAGAAAGCACATCCAGCAACCTGGAAGACAAAGAAAGGCAGTTGAGGTTCACAATGCCGGGGCTTGAGCTTTTGCTCACAAGAGTGTCGCCCACTGTGGCATGGCCGAAGAAACTGCGCAATTACCCGTCACAGTTGTTGGTGCAATTCTGTGGGTGTGATTGGATGGTCGGAAAACTGAAAGCGGTTACTCTTCTTTTTATTGGGAGCTCATGTCCTCTCCCCTTTCCGAATGAAACCCCACTGAGATGGAACCCGGTGGAGACAGGTAAGATGGCAAAAGATATTGGTATTGGCCAGAAGTCCTCTCCCCTTTCCGAGTGAAACTCCACTGACACAGAACCCGGTGGAGACAGGTAAGATGGCAAAAGATATTGTTATTGGCCACACCTTGCATAGTTTCATCCACAGACATCTCAATGACAGTTGGTCAATATCGTCACAATGCATCTCCTGAACATGCTGTTGTTAACATGGGTAGTGCTGCAAGCAGTTGCACAAAGATCCACTGGATGTTGAACAGAGAGAGACAGGATCACCCTTGTAGGTGCATCATTGCAACATGGTTTGTGATTTTGAAGCTGATATTTCAATCAACTTTCTATGTATTCTGACATGTGGATCAGCAAAGTGGTGCAGCAGAAACTTGTTTCACCCACTTTGGTGGAAAATGACATCAAAAACGTGGTTGAGATAACACAATTAGTCCAATTTTCAGCACAACTTGTCCACAATCAGAAAGTGCTTGAAATGGGCAGTGTTTTCCCAACGTTGCAAGGTGCTATGCAGAAACTGTTGATGAAATAGGATCACTGCATCAGCTGTGGGTGTCTTGATGTCATGACTGCCTTGCGGTCCACATCCACCTCAGATGGCATGGCCATGGAAGGGCTACGTGCCTCAATCGCAAATCGTGAGCATCGCTCACTGACGTTTACTTGACGACGCTGCTCAGGTTCCCGAACCCGTCAGCTTCAGCATGTTGTGGTACCTGCCCCGAAGGCTGGATACCATGGAGAAACGCTGGCATCGCTGTTAACACGCCTCACAGGCAACACATCTGTCCCAAGCCCAAGCGACATCAAGAGCCAAACACCGACTGGCGATGGAGAAGCAGCGGGTGGGCACGACCCCATAGTGCGGGCAGCAGATGGGTCGCCGGTTCCGCATTCCAACGCCTCGAAATCGCCAACCGCTGACCCAAAAGGTGCAAAGGGCACCAGAGTGTCTGGAGAACTTGCGATGGTGAGTGGCCCTTCTGCGTTGCTTTCCAGAAGATTTTGTGCTGAGCACGCAACTACAGAAATTTTGAGTAGCTACGAGTACTGAAATAATGGTGGGCACTTTGGAGTGGGGGTGTTGGGCAGATCCATGGGTCTTAAGGTCCAGGGTGTCTTGAGAGCGTGCCGCAATGGTCGATCCCCCTAAGGGTCTATATTGCAGTGAATTTGAAAGCGTGGCATGCGTTGACTGATGATTGGAATGACTTCCTAACGTGTGAAATTGGAAAAAGTTGGTGCGTTCTACAGTCAGCGTGAGAACTGTGCATGACCCTTGCTTCTTCTCAGAATATCCTTGCAGGAAGCGCGGTGCCAATCACGCAATGTGCAACAGGGCTAATTTAGGCTGCAGCATGCCCTTTGGTATTATGAGATATTGTTTAGCACAGCAGAGCTCCCTGCCATGACGAGCAGTATGTCTGCGAAGCCTACCTTGAAAAACATGGGTGTGCCTTATTGGTGCACAGCTTCATAATGTGCCTGATGAGGATTTGGCTTGCAATGGCACAACTGTGCCATCAAATCTGCAGTTTGCAATTGGCTTCTCTCATTTGTGCCAATCTTGGTCGACGTCCCTTTCGAATATAATGCACAATAGCGCAGAAATTCACAATACTGAAGAGAAATTCACCCAGCAAACGACGTCTTGTGACTACAGCTGCACAGATCATTTCCTTCCTGGGAACATGTGCGCGTTATACAAGGCTGTGAGGACGACCAGGGCGCTGTTTCTTGTGCATGGACCAGCAAGTGACGACACCTGTGCGTGCGCATTGATTACTGGCTTATTCTGCAGTGGAATACCGTGCAGAGACGGCACGCCAAAAATTCTGCACAGCATGGTTGAACTGAAAGGCAAAACACAGTGCGGAGAAGTTTAGAACGCATACAATCACCAAGCCAAACGCAAAACAAGAAACTAATAGTCGAACTCTGTCTCCCATCCGAAAGCCCAATCGTTTCCACCCGTTTGTTCGTTTCCACGCGTTGTTTTGAGTGAAGGATGATCTCACATGGCATCCTCAGCTTCCCCTTACATCGGCTCTTGCTGGAAAAGGGTACCGTTGTGCTTCGCGATTCGTGGGGGACCTCCTCTGTTCCTGTCATAATGTGGTACATTTGGAATTCAGAAAGTAATCCTCGTTGCATGCATTCTCAACTCGGGGCCTTGTCCGCAGGCGCTCTTCAACTCCGCCATCTCCGGCAACCTGACCCGCGTGCGCCTGCTGGTGGGCCAGCTGGGCATGGACCCTGAGACGTCCAACGCCATGGGTTGGACGCCCCTCAACCTGGCCGCCCTCTCCGGCCACCTGGACATCGTGGCCTACCTGGTTGAGTCGGGCGCAAACATCGAGACGCGCCAGCGCTGGGGCCAAAGCCCCCTCGGCAGCGCCGCCATCAACGGCCACGTCAATGTCGTGCGCTTCCTCATGGACCACAGCCCCCCCGCCAACACGTCGTCTAGAGACTCCGACGGAGCATTGCCGATCCATTACGCCTCCCAGTTTGGCTTCGTTGATTGTTTGAAGGTGATGCTCGAGCATGGGGCTGATGTCAATGCCGTGGCGACGATCAACGGGTGGACGCCGCTGCACACGGCGGCGGCGGCGGGCCAGGCCGAGGCGGTGGAGCTTCTTTTGGAGTGGGGGGCGGACGCGGGGGCCAGGGACAGGGGGGGCAGGCGGGCCGTGGATTTGGTGGGCATGACTGTGGCCGTGACCAGGAGGCAGTACAGGGAGATCGGGTGCCTGCTGGAGAGGCGAAGGTGCCCCGGGGCTTCGCCGGCGCCGGAGGAGGCATCGGACGGGCGGCATGACAATATGATGGTGAGCGGATGACGGCCATCGTCACCGTCGCGCATTTTTACAAAACAAGGCGCGGATGAGGGTCGCATCCAATTGGGCAGCTTGCCTGGTCTCCCTGTGGGGATGTAAACTTATTTGGGATCGGAGTGCGGAAGCGGGGACGGGAGGGCGGCTGTAGCGTCGCGAGAGCATCTTGGGCCCTTGTTCTGGGCGGTGCGTCTATACAGATGGCCATGCGTGGTGACGCTCGATGGGTTTGCCTGTGCGTGTGGGTCATAGTTTTAGTTTTCTGGGATTCGGATTGGGGGCGCCGGAGGGGTCCAGACTGCAACGGAGTGTGCCATGCAGTGCGTGATTATGGCGGGTGCACAAAGCTGCTGGAGGAAGGAAAAATTCTGGTTCATAGACACGCTCTTCTGATAACGCATGTGGATGATAATTTGTGGACACGCAAACGGTCCACGTTTTGCTCGTTGGGAGTTTTGATGCTGCAGGAAGGACACGGAGAAGGCGGCTTAGGATAGGACAGGAACCACTGTTGGGGTGCTGTTGGGCCGGAGGACGGAAGGGCGGCGACGGTCACGTGCGAGTTTGCCGAGGCTTCAGTATGATGTAGGTTAGGATCTCGACCCAAGTGAGTTGGCGTCCTGAATAAGGTGGCCATGCCGTGAAAATTCAAAGGTACTCGGGAGGGGCGTCCTGGACGCATTTGACAAAGTTGTAAACAGAGAGGGGCGAGGGACAGAGGATGCCACGGACACAGACACACACACACACACTGTGGAATTGGCCGTGATACATGTGCTGTGGGGCGATTGTCGATGGCAGAGCCTTCGCCTTCGCTGCTAGATTGCGGACGGTGAATAATGGCATCATATTTGGTCGTGGATTGGCCAGCTGTTGGGCGGGAGGGGTGCTCGATGGGCCGAACCAACCAGATTCGCGTCCCTTTGTGCAGCGTCAGTATTTGTTCCTGTTTGTAAATGATCTTGGCGCCGTGCAATAATGCATTGTTGACGTGCGTGCACGCCGCCAGACGCCGTTGTCGATGGTTTTCTGCTGCCTGCAGATTTTTGTCACCTCGCTTGTGTGAACATTTGGGTCGTCGACGCCCAGGGCTGAGCGAAAGAGGCTCAGAAGGTGTTCCCAGTGACGTAGACACGCCTCCAAGACGGGTGGCTTTCCAGCCAGGAATTGTATTTCCATCAATCCCATCTATTTACCGTGGACCCCGGTTTTACGTACACCACAAGGGGAGAGAAGAGACATGAGCGCACGGAGGAAACGCAGTGTTGCGACATGTTGTGTCCTCGACAGCAAAGTGCTATGAAAGGGAGTCGACTGGACGGTGTAATCGTCTGGAGCCTTCGCCCAAGCAGGCGTGCATTGTGCTGGAGGCTGACCCTGAATTAACGGTTGGTCCGACTCTTGAGCGGAAAGGATGCGCGGCATGTGCAGGCCACATGTTCAGTGTAACTAATGTGTCATTGCCAGGAGATAAGACCAGGGAACTGCCGTTCTCAATTTACAGCAAGTTGAATTCGCCCATTAGTCATAGAGCTGAGGCGATATTTTCGTACTCAAGAATGCACCACCATTGGATTCGTCGCATTCGATGCGATCCAAATTGAAATCACGCGTCGCAGATTGAGCTCACGGGTGCACTGGACACTCACACCTACACTGGACCACTAAGTCATTTCCTGGTGGTTGACTTTGAAGATAGGCCTTCCGTCAATCGCCGATTCCATCTTTGAACTTTTCGGTCCACGTGTTTTTCCTTCAACCTCGGATCAGCCAACTCGAGGTCTGATTGCCATTCTCTCCAGCATCATTCATGGGATTCTCCGGGTCAGCACGTCGCAATTCTGGCTGTTTTCTCAATGCCCTAGAGAACGACTGTCGCATCTTCCTATGTTCAGCTGGATCATTGGATTTGATGACTGAATCGGTTCCAGGATCTCCTACCAGGTTTTGTGCAAGTACTTCTAGGCGACTCCCAGAATATTAGGAGACGTGCTGGTCATTAGCATGTATGCAGCACCCTGACTGTGAAGTGCATTATGATAGCAAAGATGAACAAGCGTGTTTCATGCAGAAGTGGCTGATTTGAAAAGTGAACACCTCCCGTGAACCTTCCTGAACTGATTTTGAGGCTGTGTATTTGCTATACTTTGGATGTTAGTACGTTGGGCATCCTGTGATAGGTGGGGCACCAAACACCTGGAGAATGTCCACAATGAAACAAGCGTCGAGGACGCATCATCTTATCGCGAATTGTCCCCATGTGTTGCTTTGCGCCAGACAGTGCTTTGCCTGCGGCACTTTCCAACATGGCTTGCTGCCAAAGTGCTCCGATGGGGTCTTTCCGTCACCGTTCTCCGCCACTTTTTTTTGGCAAACAAAAAATTCGCCCCAGAAAAAAAAAAAAAAAAAGCTCGGGAGGACGCCGCAGAAAAAAGCGTCATTTTTCGCATCAAGCATTGGCGGCCCGCCTTTTATGGGTTGTTCCGTGGGGGCTGGGCGTGGACGCGCCCCACATGGGCAGCAGCGGGGCCTGAGCGAGCGCCGAATGGGTAGGAGGCTCGATCCCGACAGGATCAAAGTCAAGAACCCGCAGCGCTTCGTGAGAGCACAGAGCACTGGCTGCTATGCAGAGATCGTCGCCTTCATGGAGTGCATGAAGGTATCGGCCGAGCGCCGCCCCAAAAAGCGCCCCAGGGTCTGTGCTAAGGCGCCAACAGGCGCACCGCTTGGTGGCAAGTTTTCGCAGGCTTTTGGGCCTTGAGCCTCTAGGTGTTTTTTGTTTATGTCTGGTTGCGGATTTGGCGGATTGTGGGCAATGACCGTGCCGGTTGGGGCTCGTTTGAAGCGAATCGCGCATCCACCGCGTGCAGGTGCACAACTACGACGTCGACGAAGGCTGCGCGGCCTCCCGCGCGGCAATGCTGGCGTGCTGGGAACGTGAGGTGAGCCTTGATGCTTCGTGATCTGTGGGTGCGGAAATCGTTCTTTCTGGGAATGCGTGTCTTGAAGCGGCAGTTCCTGAGCAAGAGAGATTCTGCGGGGCTCTGGCGGATTTTCAGATAAGCCAAGCCGACGGTCTGGGCTTGTCACCAGATCGGGAGGATTCTGTGTCGGTCAGGGAGAAATCCCTACGCTGTCGCCACTGAAAGTAGCTATCCTTCCAACTCTGTTGCTAGAGCGATTTGGCTCAAAATGGCATCCATACGTGGGACAACCAGCACCAAAATCAAGCTGGGTTTATCACATTTTGCTGCCCAAGAGCGCATGAACCAACCAGGTCAACAGTGTTGTCTTAGCCTCCAGAACCAGTGCCTTTGGTGGTTTGAGGGCTCATTCTCACATTTGTGCCCACCGCTCTGGTGCGCTTACTGTGCTGTGCTGGTGGCATCCATGGACTGATCTTGGCGTTCATTGTGCTCCTTTCCATCGTCTTGTTTCGTTGGCAGACAGCTGATTTGGTCATTGTCACTGCTGCTGATTCCCCTTTGCTGTAAATTTGCAGCAGTCCAAACTGACCCATTTTTGCATTGTTGCCCTAGAGCAAGAAACGGAGGCACAAGCCAACAATCAATTACCATTTCCAGGTTGGTACAGAACCATTCAGCATCGCCCCACACTACTGAATGCAACATTCTTCACAAGAGAAGTGTGGTTGGCATTAAACTTGTTGTTGCCTTGCATGGGCAGCATCATGTTGGTTTGTCGAATGGTGTTTAATAGAATGATCTGGCTGCCAAATTCCAGTGTTGGCTGAATATACTGTGCGGAAGCTGTCTTTCACACGTTTAGGAACAGGGGTTGGGTGGAATTATGATCTTGGGAAATTGAATGGAGAAGCAGTGGTATCTCTGGTATTGAATGTCTCTGCTCCCATCATCGCCTGCAATGCGCAAGGTCTGTGTTTGCCCTGGCTGCTTGGCAACTGTAATCCATAGAATTTCGCAACCTTTGCCACTGCGATCAAAGCGCATGGTCGTGATTGAAATTCGATTTTGATGAAATCGCCTTCAGATCGCAGCTCATCATTATGTGCCATGTGCTTTGCAGAGGTTGGCCCGGATGATGAAACGGTGAAGCAAGTTCTTGAAATCACCTAGGGGATAGAGAGGAGCTTCAAGAAGAGGATCCCACTTTGCAATTGATGCGTTTGTTGCTGTGCGCATTGTAAGACGGCCATTGTAAGCTGGGTTTTGTGTGGTGGTGTCCTTTCTCCTGTCTTTGGCAAGGCTGTTTCCCCTGATGGCGGCAGCTGGTGGCTGGAGGTACTTGAGGTTGTACTCCTCCAAGGCCCCAAGTGCGGCCCCTTGGAGCTCCCTGGCCGTGAAGTGCATGTCCAGTGCTCAGATTTCGCAGACAAACCTGACAGATGCAGCCTCTTCTGAATCTACCAGCAACTCCAACAGCACCTTGACATCCACAGAGGAACTCGTGCAGGAGCTGCTTGCAGATGCTGTGGGGGCCAATGTCTCAGGACAATCTGGGAGGCTTGATTCGTCGTTCACGCAAGATGGAGGGATACACAGGCAAGGGCATTTCCAGCACAGGGATAGTGGGTTAGATGTCAGGCCATTGCCACTAAACTCAGGAGTTGGGATGGGCAGTGAAGTTTGGCCAGACAGAGGCAGATATGACACAGACGGTGATGTTCGGTACACGGATGAGTTGAGTCCCAGTCAGAGACAGTTGGAAAGGCAACTGGAAAAGAGGAGAGAACGGTCTGAGCGTGCTTTGGTGAAAGGCCGGTTTGTGGACGAAGACAAGTCAAGGACGAGCTTCAGGGCAACTGGCAACGAGTACTACCTTTCTGGCCTGCCATATGACGAGTCGCCAGCAAGGCTGCATGAAGCCATGTGTGTGGCCCACCTGTGGAGGCAGAGTTTTGAAGAGCCGGACCGAGTGTGGGATGACCTCATGAAGACCTTGTCAGACAACAAGCTGTGGGAGTTTGTTTACAGGCACCTTGCGGGGGCCGTGCACTTTCAGGAGGTGCGTGCGCTGAAAAAGCAGGGTGCCGCTCTTGAGAGGGGCCTGAAAGACCTGCGGAACGCAGTCATCGGGGGGCGATTCCAGTGGCAGGGAGAGGCCGGCGTCGTCATTCATGGGACATTGAGGAATGCACTGCAGACGCGAGAGGCGAGGGCGGATTTGGAAGATGCCAAAGAGAACAAGGACGATGAGTTTCTGGCGTCTATCCAGCATCGCTTCCAGGACAAGATGGTGGAACACGCACTGCGCATCGTCCTGGAGCCTGTCTTTGAGCCCTCTTTTGCAAACAACTCACATGGCTTCCGCCCAGGTCGGTCCCAGTTCACTGCCTTCGGGCAGATCAGGGCGCAGTTTCAAAACTGCAACTGGTACTTCCGATCTAACCTCAGGACGCTGTACGACGTAGTCATCAATGACAGGGCTGTGTTCCGTGACAAGCTCAAGGCCATTCTGGCGGAACGGATCTCTGACGTGCGCTTTTTGGAGCTGTTAATGTCTGGGATCGACTCTGAGGCCGTGATGGGCCGCCAGGCTGTGAGTCCCTCAGAGCCAGGCGTCAGCCCGCTTTCGTCCAAGTCTGGGATTGTGCCCCTCCTGTGCAACATCTACTTCAACGATTTCGACATCTGGCTGAAGAAACAGGCCGCGGGCTTCAACAAGGGGGCCACCAGACGGTTGAACCCTGAGCGCCTGGCACACCTCAGGGACTCCAACCTGAAGCTGGCGCAGCAGACACCGATCCTTGACCCTTTTGACCCACATTTCAAACGCATGGCGTTCTGCCGCTATGCCGACGATTTCATTGTCGCCTTTGGGTCTCCCAGGTGCGTAAATTCATTGTCAATCCTTCATTAGTACTTGAATTATTATGCCATATCTCTAAGTGTGTTACGGTGCCCTTGGGACGGACAATACTTGGGACGCATAGTGTCTCAGGAGGGAATAAGGCCAGACCCATAAGGGATTGAAAAAATAAAAATCTAGCGAACACCATAGTGCGTGAAGCATATTCAATTGTTCTTGGGACTATATAATTAGTTTTGAAAGTTCATCCAAGGTTACTCAATTTGAATCTTCGAAACACGATCTATGCATATTCTCTGATGGCTTTGTCTGAAAATGGCCAGATGCAGCAAGTGCACCTGCATGCACTGTCAGGCTTGAAGTGGCAAACAGGCTGCCCAGAAAGAACGATTGCCATGAACTCCAGGATATATGCTAAATCCATTGCAAACTGCTGGGGTATCCCAGGTCGGACGCAGTTGCGATGGTGGAGGACATATATGAATTCCTGGACAAGGATCTTCACACACCACCGCCTGAGGATGCCAACCTTGTCAACATCATGACAAAGGACGTGCACTTCTTGGGCCACCTGCTCAGAAAACGGTTGGTGACTCCAGAGAAGGAGGAGCGGAGGCGGGTACTCAAAGCGCATGCCAAGGCGATCCAGGAGCGATGGAAATCGGTGAAGTTCTCAGCCGATGCTCAGCCAGCTAGGGAGGGGGAGGCTGGCCGAGATGTAGCTCAGCTGGAGCATGTCCCTGTGGTGGACAGCTTGGGCCAGGTCTGTTTGTTGGAATTCATTTTATTTGTTTTTGATTATTTTACTAGTTGTTTTGATTCGTGTGTCGATTGCTTCAAGTTGCTGGAATGGATTGAAGATTTGTGTTCCATTTTGTGTGTAACACAGAATAGTGCATGTGAAGTTTCTCATATTTTGCATATGCTTTATCCATATTGGGTAAATGAGAATAGAACATGTCAAATGAACATGACGTTTGCCTGTTAGGTACAAAGAATAAATTTTGTGCTGTTCTCGTCAGGTTCTCTGCCGAGACGACCTCATCCGTGCCAGCATCAGGCGAGTGCTGTCCATCGATGCTGATATTGACAAACTGGTCCGTTTGCTGGCACGGGCAGGCTTCTGTCACAAGAATGGAGAGCCCATCCCAAACTTCAGGTGCGTCTGTGCGATGCTCTTTCCATGGAATCCCACCTTACATTCCTTAGTATATGGTGAAGCAAACACCTTTGACAGTTCTGGCAGTCGATGTTGGGCTGTAGGCACAATGCAGGAGCACAGAACCACATTGTTTTTTCAAGAACAGCCGTTCTCTGCCTCTGGGCAGTGCCAGTTTGCAGAGGTGCACAAATGTAACGTTGTGAATGAACAAGCTCATTATTGGTGTCAAACACGCCTTGGGCAAGGGTAGATGCATGTTTCATAGCTTTGATGAATTGCCTTTGAGTAAGTTCTTCAGGTGTGTGCATCTGCTGATTTTGGATGATTGGATTGTGAGGGAAACAGGTGCAGAATTGAGAACAAGGGATGATCTGGTCTCACTCACTACCTTGGGCAAGGCCTTGGCCTGCTCTATGTTCACAGCATGTCTGGTTTTTTGCTGCAAAGCAGCAGAGCTTCTGTGTTGTACATCTGTTGCTTCTGTACTATGTTGCTGTTTCCTTTGTGTGAAATGGCATATACCAAGCCTCTTTTCTCATGCTTGGAATTGATAAAGTCAGGATTGATGAATATGCAGTGTACTGTAACATTTTGATGTTGCTGTTTCCTTTGTGTGAAATGGCATATACCAAGCCTGTTTTCTCATGCTGGGAATTGATAAAGTCAGGATTGATGAATATGCAGTGTACTGTAACATTTTGATGAACGTAAGGCAACGAGGTACTCTTTTCTGTTGTAGATACATGCACTGCACCCAGAGCGAGACCAATGAGGCTGTGCGCAAGATGCTGTTCGGCCTGTGCGACTACCTGCGTGCCGCAGGCAACCGCCAGCGGGTGGTGCACTACCTGTCCAACGTGCTGCGCCACTCCCTGGCCAAGATGTTCGCCGCCAAGTTCAAGCTGACCTCCAGGAGGAAGGTCTTCAAACGTGGTGGCAAGTCCCTTGCGGGCTGGATCAAGGCCGGCAAGCCGCCCATAGGGAAAGTGGACGATGTTGATGAGAGCCGGCTGCCCCGCGAGGGGCGGGACGTGTTGGCGGCCATACCCTTCGTGAGGGGCTCCCAGGTGCCCAAACCGGATGTCAGTCATCTGCCAAACGACTGGGAGCCGCGGCTGATACAGGACCTCAAGAGCCGGGTGTGCCGGCCAGTCGGTGGCGAATCGACTTGACTGTGGCGGCCTGACGTTTTGCCGTGTGCCGCAGCTGGCTTGGGGCTTGCTCGTTGGACGGCTGCAAAGAAACTTGGCAGCTGCACTGCTGTTCGGGGAAGCAGAAGGGTTGGAAATGACATAGTTTTCGTTTTATGTCTCTGGACAGTGAGCTTGTCAGCTCACCTGCTAGCTGTCAAATTGTTGCTTCAGTTTCCTCATGAGAATAGGTTTGTAACTTCCAGATATTGTGAAAGTATCCGAGATTTAGATTGGCAAAGTTGGGGTATCGCATTAGTGTAGTTTCCAACTTTTCCAGTGTATATCTTGGATCCTTCCCAGGGTGTCCATGGTGATCGTTATGGCCATAACAGAAGCACTTGGGCATCGCTGCAAATAATCTTGATGACATTGGCGATATGATTCTTTTTGCGATTGTTGATCATGGAATCAGAACATACAACCCCCATGTCAGGTGGTTTGCTACCGAATAGGCAATAAATAGCTCAGGATGTTATTTGTTATCTTGAGTGATGCCAAGTGGCCTCGTAGCTCGAAAGACTTCGTAGGTTGCTCCATATGTTACAATTCTGGCGCACAAACAGGAGATGTGAGTCTCTGAATGTGCTCTTCCCCCACCCCCCCCACCCCATCCCTCCTTCCCCACTCCTTTCCCCGATATGCATAGCCTCTTGTTAGCTCTGATATTGTGTTGTTCTTCGCGATAATCCCTTTAAGCGGTGCGGTTTTCAGGTGCTGGAACTCGATCTATATTTTGGCAAGACCATGCGCATGAGGGCCCTGCAAACAAAGAGACACAAAGCAGTGTTTCCAATGGCATCAAGCACTTTTTTGCAGAACTCTCTCACAGGTAAAGATGCTCGCCTCATTTGGAAAGGAGCGAAGAATGTTTTCGCGAAAAAAATGCATCACGCCGTGCACGATTTCTTGTGACGAGTTCTCTGTTGCGATTCCACAACCCGGACACGAAAATCCAAATCATGTCCCCGTTAGTTTTGAACTGTGCCTGACTTTAAAGGTTTCAGGTTTCAGCAGGTAGCTTGTAATGTGCACATTAACTCACCGCCTGATGGGCGCCGCATTGAGGATGGAGATTGGTGAGGGATTTGCTAGAAACCCCAAAAATTCTTGAAGATACAGTAAAAAATGGAAATTCTGGAGGTGCATCGAAGCCCCAATCTACTATCCGAACACTTTCGGCCGATGAACTGACCGCAACCGCCCTGGAAAAGCGACTGCGCACCTCGTCCCCCCCTCAATCCCACTCCAAAGCAGACCCCAATTTGGGGTCCCCCAACGCGCACGGCGCAGGCCAGCCAGCAAGTCCGGCGCGCCCCACCGTCCCCAGCGCCAACACACCGTGCCTTGCGCACCGCGTCCAATCCCACCCACTCCCAGTGGGAGTGACTCTCAGAGTCACCGCAAGCCCGGAGGAGGCTCCCACCCACCCACGCCCGAACCCAGGATCCAAAATGTGGACAAATTTCTTCGGCTCGACACGAAGCCTGCGATGCGTCCCCTCGAAGCCTCCCCATTCGACAGGCTGTTGCGTCCCCACGCCACGGGGCCTCGCCAATCTCGACAATCAGCATTTCGCTGCCCCCCACGGGGCGCCCCGGGATCGAAAGACGGGGTCGATCGGCGTCCGCGAGGGAAGCAGCCTCCCGACAGCGCGCAGCTACACCGTTCGAAAAGCATCTGCTCACCCGATCGACGACCATTCGACAATCGCTCAATCGCCTGGGAACCCAGGATCGAAGACCAGGGCCGATCGGCGTCCCCGCGGGAGGTAGCCCGCCCACGGCGCGCGGCCACGCAGTGCGAAAAACAATTCAAAAGGAAACGATCCTATCGCCCCATCGACGTCCATTCGGAACTCGCTCACCCGCCGGCCTCCCCGCCCTCACAGCATCCCCGGCCCCGGCTGGCCGCACCCCCGCGCCCCTTCCTCGTCCGACTCCCCGCCGTCCTCCCCGCCGCCGCCCGCCGCCTCCACGGGATGCGCCCTGATCAGCAGCGCCGCGATCAGCTGGCGCCGCTCCTCGAAGGGCAGCAGCTCCGGCGCGAGGCGCATCGGGACGTCGATCCCGCCCTCTTGAAGCGGTTCCCTGTCGCGGTTCGCCGCTTGGCCGATCGGCTGGGGATGCGGGAAGGGGGGCTTGGAGGGGGGCGGGGAGACCGACCCCGCAGTACCGGCGGCGGCCATGCCTGAGGAGGAGGGCCGCGTGGGGGGGAGTGGAGCTTGGCAAAGGCAGCCGTGGCGCCAAAGAAGGTGCGGGGGGCGGGCCCGTCGGCACGGGGGGGGACGGTGAGTCAGCACGGGGGAATTCTGGCGCAGCCACAAAGTTTCGTCATGTTGCGCCACGCTCTTTTTCAATGGTTCGTTGTTTCACGTGTTCATTAACATATTCATCATTCATTTTTCCTGACGAGCCACGGAGGTAGCCGGTAGCTTCTTAATTTGCCCGGGCGAAGCAGTGACCATGAACGTATTATTCATGTTGACCACTACTTCTTCACCCTTTCTTCACCCTTTCATCATCATCATTTTGTACAGAACAAGGCAATGAGGTAGCCGTCAGCTTCTTGCTTTGCCCGAGCAAAGCAGTGTCTATGATCAGTTTATTGAACACGAACAAAACACGAACGTTTGGACAAAGTCCATGAATCTATTAACTCCCAGTGCCAAGAAGCGATTGTCCATGGCAATACATCAAAAGATTTGTGTTCGCTGTCGGCGAGCGGGAATCGAAGCAGAAGTGTACAGTCATTCATACCGAACGCGAGCCCCTTATAGGAACCTGTCCACAAGGGGTCACCGCCTGCGCAGTTAAAGAGCTTTCCATACACCCTGGGAGGTGGGATGAACGCCGGGCGCCGGGGGCAGACCTGGGGCGCAGGGAGGAGGGCGCGGGCATGGGGAAGATCGACTGGCGAAAGTTCGCAAAGGTGGTTTGGAGGAGGGGAAGGGAGATGCAGGCTCTGTTCGTGTTTTGTGTCTCCGTTTTGTTGCGTGAGCAGTGCGGGTGTGGCTTGTGGGGCAGGCCAACCCGGCCGGGGACGACTTGCCGCCGCTGGAGCTGGACGGGGAGGAGGATGCGGGGAGCGAGAGCGACGAGATAGGTGGGCGCGGCGGAAGCCGCCTTTCCCTGGGCGAGTGGAGGGGCGTCGCGCTTCTTCCGCGGTGTTGTTGGGCCGATCAGGCGGATCAGACCCTCGGCAACGCCCGCCGCGCGCAGATGCCGCCGCAGTTCATCGGGCAACGGGGGGGGTGCAGGGCTGTAAGGCGCCATGTCTCCGTTTCGTGTGCGCATCCCTTCAATTGATCCGCGTTGGCGCCCGCCTGCGGGCCCGCATTCAAGCTTGAGAGAAACAAGAACTGGCTGGGAGAATGAAGAACCTGATGTTTGGATGTTCTGGGGCCTTTGGGGTCACCTGGGTTCGGTGACCCGTGCCGCCACTGCGCAGCCGCCGCCTCCAGCCCGGAGGAGTCGAAGCCGGGGCGCAAGCGGAAGAGGCGGATCACGGCGAGGGCCGTGAGGGCGGCCGGCAGGCGGAAGAGACCGCACACCGGGGTGCTCAAGCGGCTGGTGGCCAACGCGCACTGGCACCACATCCGGATGGAGGCCGTGGAGGGCCTGGGAGGCGCCACCAAGGTCCGTTGTGGAGCTTTGGCTCACAACAGCACCTCAACATCCATGCACTTTGCAGTAAGACTTATCAACAGCCACCCCCCTGTCTAAGGGCAATGCAATTCCAGGACAGAGCTGCATTAACCCTGGTACAGTAAAATATTCAACCCTTCCGCATCAGAAAATTTCACCGTCACGCTTTTTGCTCCGCAATTTGCTTTTCAGAGCGTTATTTCTATTGCTTTTACGTTGCCCCGCACAGAAAGGCCAAGATTTGCGTTACTATTTATAATATATTCTCCACAAAAAAGAGACCAAGCGCTACGTTATTATGCGGAAGGGTTTAATATTGTACAGTATTGTAGCGCCATGCAGCCCTGCATTGTGGGCGTTTCGTGCCTCTGGCCGAGATTATTTCCCAGACCAGAGGCAAGTCGAGTGCCTGATTTGGGGGAGGCACATGCCTGGCACCGAATATGGCCCCCTTGGCAGAAGGGGAACGTGGAACGCAACTGACACAACCTTTTCGGTAGTGAGACGTTTTGCCTGGAGCATTCATTGCAACTGGTTGGAGGAACATGTCGAACTATCATCCCCCCCTGCCCCCTTCCAAGCGAAAGGAATATGTGCCACGGTGTAGAAGGTCGTACAGAAGGCTCCGAGTGTAACAAGAGTGGAATGCAGGGCAGCATGTCCTTGCCGCAGCCCTGGCCCCCCAACAGTTAGAGCCCCCACACAGCTCCCTTGAAACGGGCCAGGCCACAGTTGAATTGCACAAAGAGTATGCAACCAATGGGCATCCCTCTCAAGCTGGTAGGTGTGCCCCCTTGGCCCAAGACTTCCTGCTTGATACAGAGAAAGGAGGTCATGCGCTGGGCAACTTCCTGAGCAAGAATTTTCTGAGATTCTTGTCCACTATCTTGAAGATGTTTTGTAGCCTGATAGTGCCATGGGTCAGTACATAGCACACAGTAGCATGAATAGCAAGTGAGCATGCCATGACCTGTATGCGATGTTTTGAAGTATGTGAGCAAATTTCTTGCGTGTGCCTGACACCCCAATCGTGGTTTGAAACTGTAACACACACAGAAAGGCAATACTCAGCTCACAGGCTGGTGTGCGCCTAGCTGGGAGCTTCCAACTCTGGTGTTCCTTTTCTGGCACAGGAGTGGGGTGTCAGGTTGCGCCCATGGCTGCTGCATGCTTCTGGCAAAGGACCTGGTGCACTGCGCCGCGAGGCCCTCTCAGTGGCTGGGAAAGCCAGGAAGGGAATTTGTCTCTCCCTCATGAGGCAGGTCAGTATCGAATGATGCAGCAATGGGTGGTTGCTTTATGGGCTTTAAGAGGGTGTATGAGTGGACATTGGTGGAAACATCTGGGCATATCAGCGCCCACCATAGCTGCAAGGCACTTGGGCTCTACGTTAAAAGGGTTCTTGTGTCATATTACTGACTTCAGCTTCCCTTTTCAAGGGCGCATGAAGTGTTTGTCCTGTAGTCGTTTACTTGGGCTGTGGACTTCGGGTGGTAATTCAGCGTGTGAGACACACCAGCTAATGGGGACCTTATGACTTTAGGCAAAAAAGAACCACATAACTAACTGGTTGCCACTTGGCTGCAATGAAACACATGACTGTCAACAACTCATCGCCAACTCAACATGCATCCACGCAGGTTGCAGCGACGTATGGCTTGGAGCTACAGCAAGCCGAGTCCGAGGAGGGCCAACAAGTAGATGGGCCGGGCCTCGAGGTGCTCACCATTGTGGTGAACCCCTTGCCCAGGACTGCACACCTCAAGGACTGAACTGATCCCTCTCCTCTCCTGCTGGTTATCCTCATCAAACATCATTTCAACCTTCCACACCCCAACACGCAGATACACCATCAACATCTCAGCGTTTCCACGGCGGCAGGGGCCGGCCAAGGTCCATCAGAGGCCATGTGAAGGGCATCGCTGGATCGCCAGCACAGCAGCACTCTCCTTCATTTCTTACGAGCAGACTTGAGGATTTCTGTGGTGGGGATTCCTGTGCTGAAACCTCGCGTCTCTTGCAGCAAGTCGGACGCCGTCACTCTCTGAAACACATGCACACACGCATACAGCATTTGTGCCAGGCCTAGCTGTTGGCTGGTCGCCAGAGTGGGAAGCGCACTGGCCTGGCAATCAGGTGGAGCCTGAGATGTGTGGAGAAATCTCCGGAAGGGGCCTGCAACCAAATACGCTCCTGACATGATTGCTCAAGCTGGTTTTGAGCTATTGATGGCACTCTGGCTTACCGGATACCCTGCTGAGAGGGCACAGCTTGAGGATCACTGGCCTTGCTTATGCCATCAATGGGCATTTCAATCTGTTGGCCGGATGCTAAGGTCTAGTGAAAGTGGAGACTTGAACTTCAAATTTGCACCTGCTATTCCCATTGTTCAAGGCGTTGCTGGGCAGTATGACGAATCTGGGGATTTGAAACCCCCCGTTGTCGCCTCATGGGTGCAAGGGCTGTGCCTTGACAGCTGCAATCACAATTGAAAAGAGGATTTTAGAATTTGGTTGGACACTTGCAGGCTCCTTGCACTCTCACCATGAGCCCCCGGCTGCTGTGCGTGGCCTTGCGAATAAGGGCAGCTGCACTGCGCTCCATCTTCAAAAGCTCGCCGCTTTGGACCAGTATCTGCTGTTTGAGGTGCTCTCTGAGTGCCTCCTTGGTATGCAACTCCTCCTTCAGGCGTGTCTGCAGACAGGCATCTTCAGACAAAGCGATGAGCCGACAGGCAGCGCCTATGCGTTTTGTTGTCCTGTTTGATGAGTAGAATGGCCAACAGTCGACGCCTGACTTTGTGCTCAGTGTTGAGGGTAACAATGTTGGTTCAGGGTGACCCCCATGACTGAGCACACGCTGTGGGCATCGTAGAGCGCCGATTCTGTGCAACTGCGACTGTTGGCAGCGATATTGGTGGGTGCATGCCACAACTGAGGTGCATTCCATGAATGAAGGTGCTACCTCACAAGCGATCCCAGGCCAGACGATAGACACGCAAAGCCCGCAACTTTCAATTCCATCCGCAGTTCTGTGTTGTTTGATCAAGAGCTGATCTTTGTGTTCTATGGTGAACTGAATCGAATTGGTTGCCCCCGTAATCTGTGGTGAGGATGCAGTCTCCAGCAATTAATGGGTGGTGTTGTGCTCAAGCGACCATCCTCATCCAGACTACGGCAACTATTTCCTTAGCTACTTTCTGCTCACCAAGTGAGGCTGCACGTGTGTCTGGATCTCCTGCTCTATGCGCTTGATGCTCATTAGCCCTTGCTCTATTTGCTGCCTCCTTGCCTCACGTGAAGCCAGCATCTTGTGCATGGCTTTGTCCAGATCCTGCAGTGCCGCTTGAAAGGTGAAGCCAATTTTGTCAAACTGTGTGCCAAGTTGCTGTTGGGAGGCCCTTTTGGCCTGCGTGGCTTGTTTGGGGAACAAATTGTGCCCTTGTGACTTGTGAGATGCTGTCACCTCTTGCCTGAAAGTGCTGGACCAGCAACAACTCTGTCTCTGTGGTGGTGCATGCACAATGCTCCGTAGCATTGGCAAGGATGCTCCCAGTGGCATCAAGAGTCGTTGCCAGCTGTGTTTCACTGATCACGTTGTCTTGTCTAGTACAACACCACACCTCCTTGTTCCATTCCAACCTTACATCACACGATTGTGAAAGGCCTTTTGAACTGTTTGAAGCCCATCTCCTTTCCAATGTTTTATTTATCTGCCAGGTGTGTGGCTCACCTTTGTGCCACGACCGTTGACACAGGCATGAACTGCCATGCTCCATTTGTCGACGTTTGGACAAAGTTTGCTGACGCAAGTTTGCTGAACAAGTGGCAGGTGACAATAGAGCAGCATGTAGTGTGGACAATCATGTTGGCTTCTTCCATCTCACCGTGATGAGCCTGGTTATGAACTTGGGGTCGCGTTTCATCAGCTGTGCCACTTTGTTATCATCCAGTTTAGAAATGTCGATCTCATCATCATCCAGTTGTGGCGCGTCACCTGGAAGTCATGAAAGTTACTCTGAAATCCAGTGAAATCTAGCGAGACTATGGCTCATCACCAAGGTCACCACTGTGCGAAGTGCTGCTTCCAAATAGGCCTTCTCTACAAGACCAGTTGCTTTTCACGCTGATCACATCGACATTGGCGAAGGTGAGTGGTTGCAGCGGTCAGCACAGACCCTACTTGGCAGTTCTCTGGGTGTTGTTTCCCACGCACCCCCTGACCACCTCTTTCTATCGGTGAGCATTGTTCGCTGCCGCATGCTCACTTCCCGTGCTCAGGCCATGCTCAGGGACGCCCCTACAACCTCTTCTGGCGCGGCACAGACGTGTCAAGCAGCATTGATCAGGAAGGGCCACTTGTGGTGGTGTTCCCCATTCTGTTCCTTGTGTGACACGACTGGGCGCTGCAAGCCACTGCTCTGAATGTGCAGCTGCCGTTCGCATCGGCATTTCGCAAGCCGTTAAAGGGAGAAAGAGCTGGGAAAAGCGCAGTGTGCCTCGCCTGGCTGGGCTGCTTCGGAGGGCACACCACTGGCCCTGCCATCTTTTCCTGGAAGAACAGTCTCTAGTTTTGCAGCGCACCCCGGGGCCCAAAACCGAACAACTGCAACAGCTCGCAGCTGTGGCAAGAAGACTACAGCGTCAACACATCGTGGCTCTGGATGGCCACAAGGGCCACGTACCCGCCGCGAACTGTTGTCACGCCTTGGCCGAACTCCCTCGCCGACCTCCCTGTGGACGCAATCCTCGCCTCCGCGACAAACGACGGCGAACACTGGGTTCTCATTACGCCAACTGCGCCTGATTACCTGGGCCTTCCTGCACCGTTTGTCCGGAAACTGCTGATCCGCTGCGCAATCCACTGCCACGCGTCCCCGCAGGCCAGCGCGGCCTTCCCGGCGCGGGGCGCGAGTATTTCTCATCTGGCCAGGACTGAGATCGATGGGCGACCGCCCAGGTCCCACGACCGGCATTCCGGGAGGTCGGGCGGCTTGCCCGAGGCAGAGGGAGGGCAAGAAACGAAGTCGCGGACGCAAAGTGTTTTAGTGCTGATAGTGAAGAGGATGCTTGGCCGGGGATCGAACCGGGTGCCCGCTGGGTGGAACGTCCCACTGCTCCACCAAACCACCTGGCCAGGGGCAAGGAGGAAGGTAGTGCAACCCCTGAGGCATCCTTCCACCCAACAAAAAGGCGCACCTGCGTTGGCCGTCTCCGACTCCTCCATCCCGGCACGACAGGCGCGGGGCGCCAACGCCAAGGTGCGCTCGCGGGCGCCAATCCAGACACCGCCGGCTCGCCGAGCCCGCCTCCCGCTCGCCTCCCGCCCCCAACAGCAGGGCACCGACAGGGTACCCGCCGTCGGGGAGGGACGGAACAAATCTGTGCGGCGCCTGCTGACGCGGCAACAGGGGTGACTCGGTCAAAACGTCAAAAAGGCGCACGGAGGCCATTTTCCCAAACAGTTGGTTTCTTGTACCCCTGTTGCTCGACGGGCAAGGGCCGGACTGCTCAACGCGGAGCTACCCGCACGCGAACAGGGTTTCGGGCCGTGGCGCCCAATTGCTGGCGCAGGGAGGAGGGCCTTGGCGAGGTAGAAGGGCTGGGACCCGGCGATTGAAGCCAAAGGGCGAGCCGGGCTGGGCGGGTTGGGGGGGGGGATGGATCGGGCGGCCAGGCGGCGAGCCCTGGCCACCGCGCTGGCCGCCTGCCTCGCGGGCTACGGCGTCTACAGGCTGTACCGGTCCGACGCCGCCCGACGGGCGCTCAGAGCGCTCAGGGCGGTGTGGGAGCTGATCGACGCCTTGGCCACCACGGCCGAGCTCTCCGCCCGGTCCCTGCGGGAGATTACCGAGTTTTTGGACTCGGATTCGGACGAGCTGCCGGGCTGCCTGCGGCAGGCATGCAAGGCGCTGTGCACGGAGGACGCCAGGGCCGCGGTGGGGTCGATGGCGGCGGCAGCGGTGGAGGGGGCGGCCGCGACGTGCCCTCAGGGTCGGCCCGGACAGGGCGCCGTGGAGAGGTTGGCGGAATCCGTTCTGCGGGCTTTTGTGGGCGAACGCGGAAGAGGCCTGGTGTCGCTGGCCGCCGGCATGGCGGCGAGGAACAGCGTGCGGGCGGCGTGGGATTGCCTGCGGGACGGCGGGGAGCGGGGGGCGGGAGATGCGGAGGGATGGGCGATCCTGATGGGCAGGCTGGTGAGGGGGATTGGCAGCGGCGAGGGCGAGCGGCTGGTGGGCCTGGCTGTGTCGGCGTTCGCCTCCGGGTTGGTGTCCGCGTACATGGACCGGATGGACGGCGAGAACGTGTTCGACGGGCTGTTCGAGGCGATGTCGCGGAGCCCCCATCGGGAGACGCTGCTGCTGGTGGCCGGGGTGTCGTCGCGGGAGGCGGTCTCGGTGATCTTCAGGGAGGGGGTCCTGGGGGGGGCCGTCCGGGTGCAGGAGCCCGTCTTCGACTCTCTGGACGGCGAAATTGGAGATGAGGAAATTGGAGATGAAGGGGAGGCCGGGCCTGGCCCTGTGTCCATTCCGTTGCGCGGCTTGTCCGGAGCGCCGCGCGCCATAGCGGAGGCGCCCCGGGGGCCGATTGGGGAAAGGGGGGATTTCTCTGAGGGCAGCAGTCGGAGGGGGAGCAGTTTGTCAGGAGCTATCGTGGCCGCTACGAGGACGCCGGAGATTCGGGACCTGCTGTCCAGCATGGTGGGCAGCGCGGCGCGGGAGGGCACCCGGGCGGCGATCCAGTCGATCCCGGAGGCGCTGTCCAGGGCGGTGCGGTGGAGCGGGCGGGGGTGCAGGGCGTGCAGCAGGGACGGGGAGGTCCCCAGGCAACGGATGTTCGTGGCCATGACAGTGCTCATGTCGGTGATGCTGTACGCCTCGACGTCGATGCCCGTGATTTGAGGCGGCTGGGGAGTGGGGGTGGCGCTGGGGAGGGATTGGGGGGCATCTGGGGGGTGTTTGGCGATGGGGTGCCGTGAATTGGATTTGTGGGGAGGGCAGTGGAGGTCTGGCCGGGGAAACGAAGATGCGATGTGTGAAGGGCTGCCTTTATTGGGCCAGACTTCAGCAACGAGTTTTGTAGTGGGGTGCAACCCTGACTGTAATATATGCATCGTGTTGGCAATAGATCATTTTCATCGAGAGAAGACTGGCTTTGCATGTGTGGGAAGTCACGGCTGGCCATCGGCAATGGCCTTCCCACAGCAGGGAGTGCTACGAGTGCATCGAGTGCAAGAGGTGCTGCAACGGTGCAGCGCTGTCAGATGACAGGAAGAAATGCTCATGCCTGTCCTGTGACATCACTGAGTGCCTGGAGTGCAACGCCGAGGAGCTGGCAGAGCTGATCATAGAGGGTTGTGTGCATGCCTCGGTGAACCATCCAAACGTTGTCCATTTCCATGGCACCATCACCTCGGGTTGGATGTGGAAGCATGGAAATCAATCCACACGTTGTTTGGATTGCTGTACACCAAGATCTGATGCCGTGCCTGCTGCCCTTGCCTACTGCCCTTGCCTACTTTCCCATGGTGGTGCCTTTGCCAACATCCTGTACTCACAGATTACAATCTCTGCGCGTACAATGAAAACGGAAAGGATTGCTCCCTCCAGAGTTGCTGTATGTGTGCCGTTGGTATGTGTGTCTAACCAGAGAGCGGGCCATGCACTTGAGCAGCCCATTCCCACTGGAAGTACGTTGGACTCTGTGTACTGTCGATGGGCTGATTTGGAACAAGTCTATTTTGAGGACTAAGGTGGTGATCAATAGAAAAACGAACACCTCAAAACAACTGACAGCGTTTTTGTCTGTACGGCCAGCAAGACAGTTCCACATAGCTGTAGCGAAATAGAAATAATGCAGCGATTTTATATTCGAGAGTGTGTGGGAGATGCACACATTGGCTGTTGTTTCATCCTGTGACAAGCAAGAGGGTAAAAGGGAAGCCGTCAGGGTCTGGCCCTCGCTGCACTGCGCACAGTTTTGAGATTCGCCTGCAGTCTCACCTTTGGTTGCCTGGTCACTGCGCCTAGTGAGAGTGTTTTGCTGGCGAGACAGGCGCATAGTGGTGGGCCGGCACAAGTGCGCAGAGTGAAAATAATGCGCATACCAATTTGACATTATCTAATCCGCTAAGAGGTCCCCCTGCACCAGCCCCTACCGTTATAATCTCCCTGAAAACTGACGTGGCAGTGACGTGGGATTTTGCTTTTAGGTTTTAGGTTAGGTTTAGGGTAACCCTAAACCCTAAAAACCTAAGGCCTAAAAACCAACTCCTCAAACCTAAACCCTCAAACCTACCTGAAACCTAAACCCTAATCAAACCTAATTCTGAAACCTAAAAACCCACGCCACTGCAGCGTCAGTTTTCAGGTAGATTTGATAATGGCGGGGTGCGCCAACCATCGAGGTTGCCTGAAGGCTCGAATTGCGTTCACCTGCGTTAATCACAACGCATGGAGAAACTGCAATGATTTAAGTTCATTCCTTTGGTGCACGGCACCATGAAGGCCAGCCAAGATGCTCTCCACAATTCGAAGCCAGGATCGGCACTGTGTGATGGCCCCACCTTCCTGAATTCAGCACAAATGCATGAACATGCTTCCGATTCGCCAGAACATTTACATTTTGCCTTTCTTTGGGAAGGCACTACTTTCAATTTGCATGCTTACGCTTACCGTCTAACGGACGCTGGAAGGGGGAGGGGGTCCGGGGGGGGGGGTCAGGCCGTCGATGCCAAGAGATTGCGTAATTTGCATGAAAAATCAACAAATGCTACATGGAATAAATGACAGGGATTCACTGTCAATACATTCAGTATTGATACTGTGAAGATTCGTGAACGATTCCGCTTCAATGCCACCAATGAAACACTGAGAGACAAACATTTGCACCGAGGCTGATTGGCGGTATGGGGAAGCATTCTGAGGTTTTGGGGCCATTGACACAATTTGGATACATGTCAACGTTGCGTATTACCGGAACAGAAAGTTTGGAATATACCTCGCCGTTTACAACAAGCGCGGAGTTTGTGCCATTTTCTCGCCACTGAAATACAGGGTACCTTGTTGTCCTCTACGATATGCTGATTAATCACATGCAACATCTCGAATGTTCGCGTGGCCAAGATCTCCATCGTCACAACGACAGCAACGACCGCCTACCCAGGGTCGGGGAGTTGCCCTTGACATTCTCGGGCCTGTGTTTTGCTTTTTCCTTTGGGTGATTTTGCTGCCAGTTTTGGGGACCGTTTGGTGACAGTCGAACACAAACGTGGACTGGATTGCATGTTGTTTCCTGGGAACACTGCCCGACATCGCGAGCTTGGTGACAGGGCTTGCTTTGCCATGCTTTTGGCAAATGTAATTGCAACGGATTTCCACTGAGGTCAACTGTAACCGACCCAAGGCGCGACGCAATTACTGCAGCCAAGTTGAGCACGTGGCACCGCGGACGCGCCTATCGTTTCTTGCCCAGTTGTTTCTGCGCAGCTGTGCTGTAGGGCAACCGGAGGGATGGTTGGCGGCCGCTCGAGCAATGCAGGCTCCATAGTGACGACCGCTCAGCGGTCTACCATCGTGCCGTTGCATCAATCTGGTGATTGACTCGCTAATAGAATTTTGTTTAAAAAGCTCAACCAAATCAAGCAGCCACGAGCCGCAGTTCATACCCGTTCTTAAGCGTAATTTGAGAGCCCCTGCATCAAAACATCGAAGCACTTACTGTGCTCGCAGCACATGTTCCTGTGCACAGTTTGATGCTTGTTTTCCGTCGTGGTGGATGCGGCGGCCCTGGCGACTGCGACCATTTTGGAGCGCATGAAATCTTCAAAGGCCACCGCTCCGACCGCGGCCGGGTTACGTGTGATGGGTACAACAAGCATGGCAGACACGGCGACGGGTGCTTTGGATGCCGCAGTCACGGGTCTGGGCCGGGGGCGGAAGATGCAAAGAGCCCCATGGATGGACGGGTAAATATGGTGAGCGGAGCGGGTGCAGCGGAGGTGGCGGCGACGAGCAACCGTCATGGCCACAGCACGAAGCGGTACCGGCTGACATGAAAGGCAGTGGGAAACGTTATTTAGTCGCTGCCTTCCAACGTCAGCATGCAGGCGCCGGACCGGGGCCGGCCCGCGCCGGGCCGGCCCCGCTCGCCCCTACCTAGGGGAGCGCCCCGGCCCCCCGTGCGTCCCTGCCGCGAAAACAGCTAAGTCGTGGGACGGGGCACTGGCGCCTCCCCTCCGCAGTCCTGCAGTTCCGCACCTCGGCACGCGTGGCCACGGTCGCGGCTGACCCGCGGGGGCAATCGGCGTCGCACGTCACTGCCCGTGGGGGCTAGCCTCCAGGCGCACAATGCACCATTTCGAGCACGGAGCCCCGCCATGGAGCGCGAGCACTGGGGCGCAGCACGCGGCGATCCGTCGCCGGCGGACTAAGTCGCTGGCGCCACAGCCTGTAGCTGAGTACAGGCCCCACGGTGAGTGCAGATGAACGCCGCGAGAGTCCAGTTCCGGGGGGGGGTGAGAGGGGGGTGCAATTCTGAACACGAGGAAGGAGAGCCGGAGGGCCTGGGCTGGTGCAGGGAGTTGGGATTCGGGCTGTCGATCGTCGATGGTCGCGGCGACAATTCTGCTGGGCCGATTGACGCGCCCCCGCGCGGCAGGATGCCCTTTGTGCACATTATAAGCACGTGCTTTTTGAGGGGGTGGGGGTGCTTGAGCAGCGACAAATATGATCGTGCAAACTTTTCCAGCCGGGGCAGCAGAACATGCTCGGCATCAGGCACAAGAGCTCGTGGTGAGCGCCTCTTTCTATGGGAGAAGGACTGGGTTCGAATCCCAGTTGTGCCTTACACCTTTGCCTTTAGCATTCCCCGCTTCTTTTGCGTGCCAGAAAGTACCGCCAAAAACTTGCCAGCAACATAGCCCACAGGCTGAAACAAAGACCACTGCGCTCCGCTAGTGCACCTTGCGTACTGCGACTACTGCCGTGCCGTGCATTGCGCCGTGTTCGTCGGCGCATTTCATGCCCGTTGCCTGAAGCAATGAAGCCTTGGCACCATGCTGTGCGCTTCATGGTTCTCTTGCAGCTGCTGATCTGGGCATCACAGCCTGCCTTGCCGTCGAGGCCCACATGGCTTCCCCACAAGCATGCACCTCGTCGCAAACGCCTTCAAGTCTTTGTGAGGACTGTCGAAGGCAGAAGCATCGTCTTGCAAATTGACCTGTGTGACAGAATCCAAGCGATCAAGAGGAAGATCGAGGAGCTGACAGGCATCCCTGTATGCCTGCAAAGACTCTTGTTCATGGGAAAGGACCTGGACAACAACAAGACAACATCTGAGTGTGGAATCAAAAGGGACATGACACTCAACTTGGCACTACGCTTGGAAGGAGGCATGCTTGTGAGTGTTGTTTAACAATGCTATTTAATAATATTGTTCAACAGTGTTGTTTGACAAAGTTGTAGCACAAACAAACTTCCCAAAGCACTTTCTTACCTTATCATTGTTGTACTAGATTCATCAATTAAACCTTGTCCCTCAAAGTTGTAGATTGCACTTCATGAGTACTGAAGTAACACATTGTGGGTTATGCACACAGAAAACGCAGGCCGAACAGAGTGCCATGCAGTTGCCAAAGCCAGGCCCTTTTGACTTTACAGATCTTCGATGGAGTGAGAAGGTGATTTTTCACAAGGGTAGGAACTTAGCTGCCAAGCGAGCGATCATCCCTGCCAACCGCCTTTCCGATTTCCTGGCCGGTGAAAAGGCTCGTGGAAACACCGAGTTGCAAATCAATAAAAAGCAGCAACAAGATGAACCTGAGAAAGATGTTCCCAACAATTATTTCCTTGAGAAGATACGCTACACATGCTCGTATGGACCTGAAGATGAGCGCTGTCCA